ATATATATATATTATTAACTTATAATATTATAAAGTATAAGGGTTGAATTTTAACTTTTAAAATTCTAAGGGCTAACTTGGAATTAAAGTATTCATAAGAGAACACTTTTCAAATTCCAAAACTTGAGGGCAAGTTTTGAAATTATTCAAAACTAATTAATTCCATAACTTATGTGTTTAAAGTAGTTTTAATCCAAAAACTCTTCAACTTCCATAACTTGAGGACAAGTTATGGAAGACTTTAAACTAATAAAAGAATTAACTTATCTTTATTTTGTAACTTATGGAATTAATTAATTAATTAAGGTTACACATTTTATTACTTAATGAAGTGACTCTTGAACTTCCATAACTTGAGGACAAGTTATGGAGTCATAAAACCATTCAATGAGACAAGACTCTTCATTTTTGTAACCTTTGCCAACTTTTATGAGTTTTACGAAACTTAAATGTGACTTTTCATATAACTTGAGGACAAGTTACAAAAACACATTTTAATAAACTCTTAGATTAATTTGGATTGAAAACAACTATTTCACTCAAATTTTCTATTAATCTAAGCAACTCATAAGAACAAGATAATTCAAATCAAACTTTTTCATGTAATTAGTCTAAACCTTAAACTAATACAAAACATGAATCTATTGACAATTATCTTTGAAATTGGATTAGCATGAACATTACCACTTCAAAAACAAGTTTATAAGTTCAAAAACATCTTAGGGTAATGTTCCTAGTCCAATTCCAGCCAAAAAAAGTCGAATTTATGCTGTTTGGGGGTCCAACTCGTCGAGTGCATGAACCAACTCGGCGAGTTGGATCGATTTGATCACTTTTTAGGCATGGACTCGTCGAGTCTGATGATCAGACAGCAACAATTTCGATTTTTTAAGCAGTTTTGCAAGTATAACAAGAAAACAAGCCTAGAATCTGATACCACTGTTGGGTTATGAGCATTCTAACACTCCTCAGTGTACATGCAACCCGAAATACCTTGGATCTATGTTTTCTCTATTATACATGCAAATATGAACATCCAAGGTATTATCCTAATCTAGCATACAAAACAATGGATATAACAAGATAGAATACATACCTTTTTCATGTAGAAAGTCTTCATGAAGCTTGAGTGCCTAGTGCCCCAAGTGTGACAGCTCAAATGGTTCACACAACACCAAATACACTTGGAATAACTTAAGAGAATTCTACACTTCATGAAAATCGGCTAGCCCTTTCTTACTCTCACTAGTGGCCGATTTTGATCAAGAATAAGATGTTTATATAGTTATACAATTAGGGTAAACCCTAATTGTCATGACTTTCCATTTCCTTGGATCCATGGGTTCAAATACACCATGGAGCATCCATGGAGCATCATACGGGTTTTGGCCCAACTAGATAATCCATGGAGCATTAGCCCACTATATAAGTATGGATGATTTGTACAATCAACCCATATATTTAATTAGTCTTCTTTTGATCACTTAATTAATCCTAGATTAATTCTTGATCAATACTAATTAAATAATCTTATTATTCTTATTATTAATATACTAGAACTTATAATATATTAATAACCATAAGTGTCTTATTTCTCTCATTATAGTCTATCTAAGTGCATGATGTCATGCAACCCAAATGGACCATGCCGGGTCGGGTCAAGTCTTACCAATTATAGTTATGGACTTAGACATTAATCCAACAACTATATCAACAGGGTCTAAGGCACCAAGGTCGGCCCTTTATCGGGTTGAGATCCGGGTATCTGTTGTTATGTTATTGCTATGATATGTTTGCATCCGGATAGTTAGGTGGTATTCGTTAGAGACCTGGTTAAGGTCGGTATCCTGATATATAGGATGATGCTATGCTAGTGACCGGTTAGGTCGGTATCCTGTTAGAGTATGTTGTGTTATGTGATCTGCTAGATCGGATTGACTGAATATGAATTGTTATGTGATTGTATGTTTATGTGCACATAGTTGTTTGGATTGGAGTTGGGTTGAGGCGGGTCCTGCTTCGTGCTGTAGGCCAAGATACCCAGGGCGGACCGGTTGTTCCGAAGGCCCAGCGAGCGGTCCGGATAGGCTGTAGGCCCCACGAGGGCGGACCAGATGTGTCGAGGCTCGGAGAGTGGACCAGGCCGACTGAAGGCCCGATGCGGGCGGACCAGTCATAATGTAGACTCAGAGAGTGGACCAGGTGCGTTGAAAGCCCGGTGCAGGCGGACCAACCACACTGTAGACTCGAAGGACATGATTAGACTCAGAGGGTGGACCAGGTGAAATGAAGGCCTGACACGGCGGACCAGTCTCACAGTAGACCCGATGTGCATGGCTGTTCTGTGATTCGTTATGATATAGCATGTTATGTGTATGGTATATGTGGTTGTTATTTTGGGGGTATCTCACTAAGCTTTCGGGCTTACAGTTGTGGTTTAATGTTTTTCAGGTTTTTCAGGAGGCTGTGGCAAGGCAAAGGTGTGATCGTACCGATCCTCGTGTTTATGTTTTATGAAATGGACCTGGGAATACTCTGATAATAAATGTATTGAAAACCTTTTTGTAATAACTTAATGAATTGGGTTGTTTTTGAAAAGTTAAATTTTTTTTTGAAATTTTGGTCGTTACAGCATTAGCGGCGAAGATGTAGCTGCAGTTAATGTCACCACTAATACTTTAAGCGATCTTCGTTTCCCATCCGTTCGATTAGGTCCAGATCAACGGATAGAGTGAACCAATTTCTTTTGACGCAGGTCGTGGTTTTCTACCTTTAGCGGCGATGTATAATCTTAGCAGCAACATATAACACACAAATCTCGTTTCGTCGCTAAAAGTGTGCATCGCCGCTAATGGCGTCACTGCTATTTCCTTTATTTCTTGTAGTGATAGCAAAAAAAATATGAAATCTTGAATACAAACACAAATGGAAAAAAATATGGAAAATAAATATATAGTAGAATTAAACCACAAAAGATAAAACCCCAATTAGGGATTGTTAGTGTACCAGGAATTATATTATCATCTTATAATTATATATCTTCAAAAGTGATTATTGAGCCAATAATTTGGTGAGGGGTATTTGGTAATGGGTATATAAGTGTGTAAAAAAGCCAAAAAGAATACCATCTTTTTTTTATTATTATTTTTTGTTGCTGCTGAGGTGAGTTTGTTAAAGGAAAAGGAGAATTAGATGATGCACCTCGGAAATAATAGAAAATCTTGTTACTCTTTATACATTTTTTCGTTTGCATCAAATTATGGTATGTTAGAAATCTATCTACTCATATTGTGTTTCTAGAAGGCACAATCAGGTAATTAAAGATTCTTGCATAGTGTTCAAATCCACAATTCACAAAACTCAATAAGAATGTGTTGATACAAGTTTTACATGTACATGATTGAAATAGAGAAAGCTACTTGAACTATCAACCATTTCACATACTCCGCACACAAAAAGCAAATCAGAAAAATGCAAACCTAGAAGAAAATCAATGGAAAATTAATAAATAGTTAGGAATTGGGGTAAATTTTAACCTAATCAGCACATATCAATGATGAAATGCATAACATGGTTCCCATGTAAATGATTTTATGTTTCTTCTTGAACTTCAGATCACCAACATAAATGGACAACGAGTTAGTTGCTGAATGTTGTGATGGTTGGAGAGTGACAGGTAAAGCCGAGGAGGGGAAATACTAGAATCAATCACTAGGGCAAAATTGCTCTAGAATACAACCCTAATCGAATAGAGAATGAAGAGAGAGGTTGGGACGATGAACAGGAGGGGAAATCACGACAGGAGAAAACGAAGAGAGAGAAGTGTTGTATGAGGGAGGGCGTTTTAATTTTTTTCTCAGAATCCCTAGTTTTGTCGATTTTGTCAAGATAAGAAGGAATTATAAGATGACATCATACAAGATAACATGGTTATTTTGATTATATAGTCTATGGTTTTTTATTATGATGACACTAATACATGACTCATATAATGCATGTCGTAAATTGTTAATTTTTACAAAAAAAAAATAACACTTATTTTACAACATATGCTTCCACAGAATCTTTTATAGTTCTTGTTTGAAGTATAGACACACATCAAATTACAATATGATGTTAGCTATGATATGTTGTCATTTTAATTGTTGAAAGAAATTGCTAAGCATATTACACCATTTCTTATGGGTGGAGAAAAAATGCTACAAATCTACTAATAAATATTGAATTGCATTATTAAAATGTTGTTTGGAATCTGACATGTTTTGGCGCATTTCTAGCTAATTAGAAACACGATAAAGTGTTCTTGTAGTGTAAGAAAAGTGTATCTCTTTCATAATGTAAAACCATAAAAGTGTTGCATTAGGTATATAAAGAATGTTATGTTGTTGGAAGTTATCATAAAATGTTGCATGTGGTGTCAAAAGTATTCCATATGAAGGATAAAAGTCTTGTTGTAGGTTAGTGGGGAAAATGAAAAGGTGTTGCACTTTGTGTAAAGAATTGTTGCACTTTAAATTAAATCCAACACCTTTGACAAGTGTTTGCCTATTCCAAATAAATGTTGGTTTAGGCCTAACGCAAAAAGAGGTAAGGAAGCACTTTGTAAAGTGTTGGATTATTGGATTTGTATAATACAAGACTTTTAAGGGATAATGTCACACTTTATGGGTGTTGCAATAGCTTCATTTTGTTGCAGCGAAACTGTGAAAGTAGCCATGCCAATAAGTATGATGTTAAAATACTAAATATTATTAAGCTAACAGATTGTACTTCAATTTGAAACCTGCTGAGTACGTTTCATCTTAGAGATAAGTATAACAAGGGTGACAACTTCTATGGTTTGTCCAGTGACACACTCCTAGGAATTCTTATATTGTACCTCAAGGGTTGCATCCAAAATCACAATCCATAGGTTGTATTAAAAAATCATACAAACTGCATATGACGAATGAAGATCATACAGCTGAAATGATCTTTTTATAGCAAAACTAATTATATATGTAACCTTTAAGCCAGAAAAAATTACATTGATATTAATCTCCTGCAATGTGTAGCTAGATTCCACCCCAAATGATATGGGTGAAGTTAATAAAATTGCACAAAACATCTAGATTGAAATACCCTAAGTCAGTTACTCTTCCACAGAATGTTATACTTTGTCTAAGGAACAAACATGGTAAATGAGGATCCTTCCAATAGTTTACATGAGTGGATTGAAGTTACTATTGTTGTTTAAAATCAATCCTTTTCTAACACACTCGGTATGCATAATCCTTTAGCTAGATCCCTGGTTATCTTTGTTGTTCTTAGTCATTCTGTTCAGCAAAGCATCCGAATTTCGTTCACAGTACCCACCTTTCCTTACATTATATGATTTCTTCGTTTGTTGCCTCATTAGAACCGCTATGAAAGGAGATGGTATCCTGGCCACATCGAGTTGCCCCTAACAAACATTATGATAGTGCTTCTTTTTGAAGACCTAAGAAAAATCATCATGAGATGAGTAAAGCAAGGTGAGGACTTCTGTGATTTATGCAGAGACACACCCTTATTAGTTCATCAGCCCTTAAGTGTTACACTCGATATCATGAGCCATATGTTAGATTAGAGAAGCAGGCAAGCAGCATATGATGGATGAGGTACAGATGCCCGAATTGATCTTGTCATGGAAAACTGGTCTTGAAACCTTTAACCCAGCAAAAAGTTACATTGAGCAAAATCCTATAGAATGTGTAGCTAGATTGCATCCAAAATGATACTGGGAAAGTTTATAGAACTATATATTGTCCTTGAGATTGAAGTACCCCACGAATAAGTTTTCTCTTCCAAGTGAAGGACCCCTTCCAGTAGCACCTCAGATGTGGCTCAAGTCTCAAATCCATGGAAAATATTCAGGTTGACGAAACCATCCCTAACCAACTAACAGTTCCAAGTCATGAATTGAATCAATCAAGTGTAGTTAATTATAGTTGTCATCTGTAATTTCTCTTAATGATTGCTTGTCTGGTTCACTACTATAAGTCGATTGAAAGTCATCTTCCATGCCTTCTTTTTCTTTCAACTCCTCAATCTTTTCCACGACCTGTTTAATATCCATCCTCTTGTTGGCATCTTTTTCACAACAACTCAAACCAATCTTCAACAACTTCATCATCTCCTCTTCACTGCTCTTGTTGAATCCCGCCATTTCCTTATCAAACACATCAATGTTCAACTCCTGGTTTGCCACAGAGTTGATGAAATCAGTAAGGTCACTTTCATTCCCTTTGCCTAGGTGGAGAGTATTTGCTAGGATCTTCCCTGTCATAACCTCAAGGATCAGGATACCAAGGCACCATATGTCTGTCCTTTTTGAGATGCGTCCATGTTGCTTATACTCTGGTGACTTGTAAGCCATCATGAGGTCGAATGCATGTTCTGGGTTGGTTACTGGAACCAAACCGTAATCAGAAAGAAGGGGCTCGTAGTTCTTGTTGAGAAGGACATTTGAAGACTTGAGGTGACCATGAGGCACGATTAGGCTTGGTAGCTTAATGTACAAGCTATGAAGCCCTTTCACTATCCCTTTCATTATTCTCAACCGAGTAGGCCAATCTAGGCTCCGAATTTCATTAGACTGGTTGCCTGAAATCATCACACCGAATGAAGTTTAATGTATGCAATTAGGGGTTTGTATAAATCCATGAATCACAACCAAAAATACCCTATAACTAAAGGGATTATCTTTTTTCGAGCTAAGTGTTAATTTCTAGGAAACTATCATAATGAAAGGCTGTGTATTTGCAATGAATAAGTTTGGTTGTAACAAGGACTTCGAAAGATGTCAGCAGTTTAAGAAGATGAAGCATAAATAAAAGTTTACCATGGATATGGTACGAAAGACTAATGTTGTCAATGTACTCGGAAACGAAAAGCTTCTCTTCTTTTCGATAGTAGAAAGCCACTAGTGGTAGTATGTTTGGATGTCTCAACCTGCCTAACCTTTTCATATGCTCATAAAATTCTTCTTGTCCAACATTATTCATTTGCCTGAACCTCTTCACTACCATCACTTTCCCACTAGCGAGAGCAGTCTTATAACTGGATCCAAACATCCCACTTCCCAGCACCTCAGCGGACGCCTTCAACAAGTCTGCTAGATCAAACACTTCCTCATCATCTATCAAGAACGTCAACTTCATAGAAAGATCTGCATTCTTTTCCTTACGAGATGATGATGCGCCCTTCTCCTTCATGCTAAGGTTAGCTGAAGTTCCTAAAACTGTTGAACCATGGTTCTGAATTCTTGCAAAATCTGGATCTTGGTGGCGGCGGCTGCTAAGGATCACCACAGCAAAAAGTACTGCTCCTACTGCTGTTGCCAGCACCAATGCTATGATTATGATCGTGGCAGTGGAAGTACCATTTCTCTGACATTCTTCCAATGGTGATCCACAGAGCCGTTCATTACCTGTGTCAGGAAGTCAAAGCCATTACCAAGATTGCAATCTTTTCTTTTGCATGATTCATTATTAAGATTTATAAGTTGTTTTAGACAAAGGTCAACGAAATTGTTAATGCTTGGATATATATGTACACACCAAATGTATACGCCGGGTGTTATTTCATTAAAAACATTGGATCCGAGGTCGTAGATGATAATCAAACACCCAACATATATCATTCTGCAAAACTGCGTCAACTGTATATACCAAGCACTGTAGATGGACATTCATGCATAAAGAATCTTTATATGAAGGAAACCAGAGTGCTTTCAGGAAAAAAAAAAAAAAAAAAACTACCTAAGAATAGGCTTGCAGAAAAATTCTCAAACCCTTCTGGGATACGACCATTGAAATGATTGTTGGCGAAGTTTGCTAGAGTGAGGTTAGTTTTATAGAATTTTGGGATTTCACCCTCTAAATGATTGTTTTCGAGCAACAACTCTTTTAGCATAGGTAATGAGGTCACGGAGACAGGGATCTGGCCCATGAGCTTGTTATTTGCGAGATAAAGCTTCTCGAGCCATTTCAGTCCCTTAAAAGCATTGGCTGGAATTTCACCAGAGAACTTGTTGTTAGACAATAAAATCTCTCTGATTCCATAGAGCATTCCGAAATCAGGGAAGGAACCCTTTAAGTTGTTATCCATAAAGTTTATGCTCACCAAAGATTTCAATCTGGCTAATATTGTTGCATCAATGTTACCTTCGAGTCCCATCCCCTCGAGTTTTATGGCCGAAACGGTCCCATTGTTGCAAAGAATGCCTTCCCAGTTGGCTGTGTTATTATTGCATGGTTCCTCTGAGGTTATCCAGGTGCTTAAATTGCTGCCATTGATTAAAGAATTCTTGAACTTAAAAAGCGATTCTAAATCGGAACCATTCACAAGTTGGATGGTCGAGATTAGGAAGAGGAGAACAACGAAACGACCCAAAGTCGAATGAGCAAACATGGAACAGGAGGATGGCACTGGTGCGCGCACATACAAGTGCGCGCCCATTAGAGGGGCTATTGCAGAAGGCAATTGTGGCTGCCGTTAGGGTTACAGAAAACTTGGGAATGAAATATTGCGTTTCTGTGGGCATCAAGAAACAAAGGTGACAACAAAGAAAGAAAGACATGTTAGGGGGAGAGAGAAAAAAGAGAGAGAGAAAAGAGAAGGCAGGTGCCAAGAATAGTTATTGGGTAGAAAAGAGAGAGACAGGTGGTACAAGGTCTTCCTCTTGTTTTCCATAAATATTTATACGGGCTTGAAAAATCTTTAGTTCGTTAGAGAAATTTTCCAGCCACTCAAAGAAACGGAAAAGTTCATCAAAACTATGGTGACAAGGTATCCATCTATGTACTTAAGCAAAAGCCTAAAATTATCTGTATACATGGTACGATTAACAATTTTACACATACGGTGTATTTAGCAAAAGTAGTTGTTAGGTGGAAGCGGGTAGCGGTTAGCTGATAGTGTGTAGCAGGTAGCTGTTAGCCGAAAACTGTAACTTATATTTGTTATATGAATGTTTGACAAAAACAGGTAGAAGCTTTTGAAATATATAAAATTACATAAGAGGATAATTGATTAAAAATAAATAAATATATAAATATATTTCTAAGGGCAATTATAGAAATTGCTTTCAAAAGCTCATGAGCGTTTTGTTAAACGCTACATGAAACAGCTTTTACAATCGGAACGTTTTGTTAAAACTAAAAGCTAAATGTCGGTAATGTTAAACAAAGTTTTTTGTTTAAACTAGAGGGTTTTTTCAAAAACAAAAACCTAGAAGCTCTCAAACGCTTCCAAAAGCTTCGTGTCAAACACGCCCATAGTAATTTCGATCAGTTTTATTAAACAAATTTTAGACTACCAATGACACAATGAATGCAATTGAAAATGTTTCAAAGGTAAATCCACAAAAAAATGGCTAAACACTATAAATTAGTTTCTAAATATTACTACATATAGTTGTTATATTCAATTATTCATTTTTTTTTTTTGAAACAACAGAATTACCTACTCCAAAAACCACATATATCTTCCAAGATCGATTTCATACATCAACAAAAAAAAACGATCAAATAAAACGGTACAAAAGGAACCAAGATCTAACCTGTATGAAACATTCAATAATTCGTCGTTGAAAGAAGCTGAAGCCACACAGTGGCTCTGATATCATGTAACAAAGTATAAACTCAAAGTACAAACAGAAGAACACAACTCATTTCCAACATCAACATTTCATTCACTATGAAATAGTTAGTTTTCATCATACAAAATACAAACAAAAACCTCACTACAATCAAACAAGGAATCAAAGAATACACATAATTGTGTTTTACAAAACCCTAATATGAAAACCCTCTTCTGAAGACGAAGAGAACAAACAAAAGAGTACCGCACAAAAAATATCTTGAGTTATAACAAAATCAGCTTCCTTTGTACATTAAATACCTGGGGCAGAATATAACTCACGGACAACCCATGAATCCATATCGGACTTGCAACCCGTATGCACATTTCATCTGCATATCCAAATACAAAGAAACATCCCCTACAAAAATAACAACTTAACACAATATATCATACTTTACCATAAAACACTTAAATGATAAGGTTGTTAATATTATAATACTTTCAACAGCCAACTTATATTAGAACACGCCTCTAAGCAGCTTCTTGTTGGCTTAGAAAATTAAAATTCACAAAGATATATAGCTAGATTAACACAATTTTCTTGAAAGAAATTAAGATAAGGACACCGACAATATCGAATTGAAGATGTAAAACTGTGTGTGTGTATATATATATATATATATATATATATATATATATATATATATATATATATATATATATATATAGTAACTCAAGAAGTCATGATGATAACGATGATTCGTAGAGATGATAAAGATTTAACGTTTTGTCGGATGGTATAAATACTACTCCTAACTAGTGTTCCTGCTAACTGAAAACCTACTGGAAAAGGAAGTATGGAAGCCATATATCCAGGGAAACTTAACTTGATTGAAAAATGTTCTCATACATCATATATTATATAACAAATCCATTGATCACTACACAAGCTGCACGCTAATTGCTCTTCTATATAGCTTCATCAACCTTCCGGTTCAACAATATTTCCGGTAACATCTGAGCCCATTTGTTTCTCTTTAGGTAGGAACCTACGTATCACAAAGCAAGCGATGGCACACAGCAACAGAAGCCCAAAAACCATTACGATAGAAAAGCACATGCTCCCGTTTTTACAGTCTTTCATCTTCTTTGTTCTGATATTAACCAGTAAAAATGGTTGACATAAAAAAAATAATAAACAAATCTAAGCGCCAATATTTAGGATACGAACTTCAGTTTCTAAATAGCAAAATAGCAGAATCAATATGATCTAATAGCAAAATAGCAGGATCAATACTTCATCCGGAAGTATTTAATATAACCAAACCTTTCTAGATAGTATGCATTCTAATATGACTAAAGTAGCTACTACCAAGCTATCTAGCTAGGTCGTAACCGATAGTCTAGCATGTCACCACATACGTTTATACATTTATTGTTAAATAACAAATAAATCAATTCCCATTGCATATCCGACATGAAACCAATAGTTAATAACACTAGCACGTAGAGCACAAAAATAAAGCTTGAAGAAAAAGAAATATATAAATTAATCCCTGCGAGTTTATGTACCATTGTAAATCTCCATTTTCTTCAACTAAATTTGTAACGAGAACGACAAATTAACATCAGGAATATAGAAAACGATGAGTGCAATTTTTTTCTCCCATATGGAACAAGCACTCTTAATTTGTCCAATTTTTTTCTACCACGGGCATCAGATTTTCCTTTATATCCTCGATTTATCTTATCCATGGATTAATGCACTAGCTTGTAAAATTAAATATCTATGGAAAAATAAATGTTATCGGAACAGACGTAACAGAAAGTAAAGACAAGTGACATGAAAAAGATTATTCAGATATCAAAATCAACATGAAAACCAATTAAAAAACCAATGAAATGCAAGGAAGGAATAAGTTAACTACAACCTCGATAAGGGTTGCTCCGGAAAACCCTAGAAGCGCAGCAGCAGTACTAACACTCGGACAAGGAGGAGCGGGGTTGGAAAAGAGCGTTTTAATCGGGGATTAGGAAAATAAACCAAAGCCCTTAAATATAGGCAAAAAAAAAAATGTTATTTATGCTTTATTAATAAGGTAATTCAGAAAAAATGAAAAATATGTAGTGTTTTTTTTTTTTTTTTTTTTCCGGAAGAAAATATATGCAGTGTGATCTTACATTCTTACTCGGATTATGTTGGAGACAGTTGTATTAAGGTGTACTGTACAAGGGAAGATTAAAACTAGATATGATTTAGTTTCCATATATCATTAACGCATATAATTATGTAAATATGATAAAGTATAAAACTGGATATGATTTGGTTTCCATATGTCATTATCAACGTCTAAATGAGGATTTAAATCCACTATAATTATCACCCTTCAGATTTAAACAACACCTATATATAAAAATCATCATAATACCTAACATAAAATATTTTCTTTTATTATTTATTTACTTTATTACTTTAATAAATAAAAATAAAAGTTATCATTTGTTATATTTTTATTTATTTTGCTATATGTTAATTTAAGGTTATTTTAAATTAAATTTTTTCTATATATTATTTTATACTTTTTTTCAATTTTATTTAAACGTAATAAATGTAATAAAGTTAATGATCGTTTGTTTTATGAACGCTATTATTTTAACAAATCGTATAAACACATAAAATCATATCAACTCGTACTGATCGAATTAAATGTCTTTTAACGCCTTTTATTCTAATTAATTAATCAAGTATCACAAGTTAATTAGTCTATCTTAACAATAACGGCAATGCACGAGGACTCATAAATTGATGACCATGTGTATCCTTTTGTGTATAAGGAAAAATTCACATAACCAACATATAGGGGTAGGATTATCATACAATGTTTTATGAAAAA